TCTTGCAATAAATTCCTTCTCAACCACACCTCATGTCACCTTCAAGCGATCTTCTAGATTTAAAAGGATGTTTTTAGCAATCCTTTTCTAGTGCTTTGTGCTTTTCAACCATGCAATTCCAAAAAACACTCGCATCTGACATCCCTTTGCTCTCCAGGGTAAATCCTCAATTTGGTACCTAAGGTGAAGCTGCAAAAGTTTAAAACTCAGTGGTCCACAATGAGGATGAAGTAGAATAATTTCTAAATCAAGCCTAAAATAAGCTTAATCGTCACACTCAAAGACAAAATTAAGAAAAAAACTCTTGGTTGCATTCATACATTGAAATAGTACCCAAGTGGAACACCATGAAGAGTCATAACTTCTTCAATAAGCCAACCATTTTTATCAGAAAGCGGAGATTTCTGCTGAGTATTAGTTACCTCTGCTCTATAGCGGGACACAGGCTTATCCAATCTGTAATATATTTGCCCTTCATATACATCAGCCCTTTCTGAATCCCATGGACTGCAAGAATAGTTAAGACAGCTAGCTCTCTCCATACCTTTACGGTCCAATTCAACACCACTGAATTACTCCATAAAGAAACTAGTCTGAATCACCAATAAAGTAATTACCATCATAAACTAGTCTGAATCACCAAAAAAGTAATTACCATCATCAGAGACAAAGAATATGCATCTACAATACATGCATACAGATACTACATTTACATGTGAAGAATCCCTGAAGATAAAGCTTTAATGAGAGCACTTGCAGTACCTTAGACACAACATGGGAAGAAAAAATGTTCCTAACAGGATGCATGTTGCGGCGAAACTAGTTCCATAGACTCAGAGGGAGAGAAAGAAAGAGGACTCACAGGAAAAGGAAGAGCAGCTAAATAAATCTCAGACATACTGACATCCTCAAGGCCTAAGAAGGATCCACTCTCTTCAGTTTGGAGGATTTTAGCTTCGGACTCTTCTTCAACTATTTGCACTTTCTGCTCTGGGCTCAAGGATCTGGCTTTCCATAGAGCCATGATTGTCCTAGTCAACAAAAATTTTGAAAGTCAAGATATGACATTTTACCATTCTTTACCCTTTGACATTTTTGCTTTCAGAAACTTGCACAACAAGGATTTCCATACCCTCAGTTTTATCATCATAGATTCTTAATACTTGGGACTAGTTTCATCATTGGATTGCCCAAGAACAACAGTTGATATATAACCAAGCAAGTAGCCTAGATGATAGAGTTAAGACAGAGGAAAAGAATTTCGGCAAAAGAAAAAGAAAGTGGCATGATAACTCTAATTGTAAAAATCATGATTCTTAGTTGTTTCTCACAGAACAATTAAAGCAGGATTAATGAAGTGGAGAAATTCTCATTTGATGATTAGAAAAGGATAGTATGTCAGGTTGCAGTCGCAAGAGCCAAACGGCTCTAAGTACAGAAGTTGTCCAATATCTTTTAAAAGCAAATCCATCTGCCACTCGTAAAGAACATTCCAGAAACAAATATTCTGGCATCACACTTATAATAGTCACATGGAACAACATAATGGAAGTCATAATGTTAGTATTCATTTCTAGACATTGTGAAAAAGCTTAGGTTGGACATTTTTTCAACCTTAACAAAAATACTAAACATATGAAAAGATACAGTAAAGACATCAATAAAATAGAAACCAAATACATAGAAGATAGATTGATCCTTTACCGATGAGCTACAATGAAAGATACAAAATACTGGAAATGAAACTTCAGCCTGCCTTCCTCATCTTGTGTCTTTGCACCGTGTCTAGCATCCATCCCTCTTCCTAGAAGGAGAGTTATAACGATAATTGGAATACCCATTGATGCCAGAGCCTGAGCTAGTAAAGTAGCGAACTGCTCAAAGCTTTCATTTAGACCTTGTCGGGCTGCAATTTATGTCATACTTTTCATCTTCGTGCTCTGCAAGAAGTTCATTCTCCATGAAATCAATTTCAAGACTGTTCGCCAGATGGAAGCTCAGGCCCAGGAGTGATGCAGTACAGCACTTCAGTTTTGAAGGTACTCTCATACATAACATCGAGAGTGCTCGCAACCTCTAGAACAGAAAAATTCTTCCCATCAGCTCTTATATACGTTTGCTCCTCAGTGGCTTTCACAGCCTTAATTAATTTGGTCGGTGCCCTGATGTAAGAACAAACTCTTTTGAAGCTCTCACCACCATTATCAAAGTTGCAAGGCCCACCTAATGACCCAGGAAAACTTGAATCAAGTGAAAAAAGTACAGTTTAGCTCTGTTGGTGCAATGACATATAATTGATCCAGAAGGACTCCTCCGGGTAAATTGCTTGGAATTTCAGTTCCCTGATCTCTAGGGTCCGACGCTTTCGTTGCTTCCTTAAATGAAACAGAGGATGACTGATCATCAGAAATATCAGCTCTTGAAAGTTCACGTATCTCCAACAAATTAATGCCCCTAGTGGAGGTAGTTGGAGCTGTGTCAAAAATTTTATTAAACATTGAGCAATGCGACCTGCTAGGGATTTTTGTGCACATGATTTCTCTTCCTTGGAAGACACATTTTCTTCTTGTCTCACAGGAGAGTGGGAGTTTGATGAGCCACTAAAAGACCTAGAAAGATCCTTAATCGTAATGTCTGCATGCTTCCTCAAGATGATGCATGATCATCGTTACAAGTCAAGTCCATGAATGAATTGTTTTTAGAAGTATTTCACCTGTAGGGAAGGTTGAAAAAAAAGAAAAGCAGGTAGATAGACAGATAGATAGATAGAGTTGAAGCATGTCATATAAGTGATTGAATTTTTGAATCCTACATCCCAACAACTTACGTAGATAAGCTGCTTCTGGGAACTAAAGGAGGGGATATTGTGACCCTCATAAACAAAGGATTGCATTTAGAATCATAGTAAGACAGCACAGAAATCCCAGTTGAATTCCAAGTAAGAGACTTAAAAATAAATAAGAATTCCAGTTTAGTTTAGTTTAGTGATGGGATGGTGAGTAGTGATGCAAGGAAAATGGTTAATTTAATTCCAACAAGACAGACAGCGCACGAGGCATGATCTGGCAATTCAAGTTTATAGATGCTGAGAAACGAAAGATGCAAATAAAAAGATAAACAAACAAATAAATAAAAACATACCACAACCCTTTTTCTTGGACTTCTTATTCCTGAGATGGAGGGAATATCAAGCAGTGCCGAGAGATTAATGGTGAGCATACAAAACAAAGGAAATGGGGAGTTTAAGGTGGCCCACAAAGTCATCATTGAAGTACTTATCCTCATCCAAGACAGAGATGAGAAGCTCCTCATTCAAATCCTCACCCCAACCTGGGTTCAACGTCTTCTTCACCACTTTGGTCCTGTACCTCTGTTTTCCAAGCTGAAGCCTGAAGTACGGATCACTGAAGCCGTTTAAATCCATGCCGGTATTTTTCTCGCTTCAATTACACCCACAATGAGCTTTATTTTGTAGGGTTCTTTTGTTACACGTTAATAAAAAATTTTACATCTTTCAAAAATTTGAATAAAATACTTTATATACGCATAAAGGATCAAATTACTTAAGAGCTTAAACTTTTAAGCTTAAATGGTGACCAACATGAATGTATGAGTTTTTTTATGTGCGTTTGTGAGTTTCAAGTGTGATTTATTTTTTTAAAAAATAATATCAAAGTCAAAGTTACGGTGGGTTCCGATCTTAATGGTGTTGTTAAGTGGAGTGTTGAAACTTGACCCAAAAGTGTATGAGGTTGTTTGATTAAAAAAAAGTATTGATAAGACTTATTTGCATGAGTAACTTAAATGAGACTTTATCAAGATTCACAAATGAATAAGAGATATTGTTAGTTCACATGTGAATAAAGAATTTCATATTATTAGAAAATTTGAATGAGATGTTATAGTTTACATGTGAGTGATAAATTCACAAGTGAACAAGAGATATTGTTAGTTCACATGTGAATAAAAAATTTCACATTATTAAAAAATCTGAATGAAATGTCATGGTTCACATGTGAGTGAGCATTATTAAAAAATTTGAATGAAATATTTTATATACACACACGAAGGATTCAAAAATATAATAACTCAAGTTTTTAGGCTTAAGTAATGTTTAATATGTATGTATAGACCAAAAATCTAATAGCTTAAGCTTTTGAGTTTAAGTGATATTCAACATATATGTATAAGCTTTTTTATGTGCTCTTATGAGCTCTAAATGTAATTTATCTCTCTAACATTGTCAACATTATTATTTATTTATTTAAAAAATTTAAAAATTAATTAATATTTATTTTTAAAATTTTAATATATCCTGAATTTTCTATCTTTATCTATTTAACTCGATAAATTAAAAGTAAACATATATAATAAGTAAATTTAGTTTAGGCCAATCTTAAGGGTATTAGTATTTAAATAATTTTAAATAAAAACCATATATAGATAATTTTTTTTTACTTGCTATTTTTGTTATGGGTGGACGTAAATGTCACCTTTCAATGCTAAATATTGCAAAAACCCCTGAATCTATTAAACAATATCCCATTTAAAAATTTCAAACTTACATTTAAAAAATTTGCGGCAAAAATATTATCAATTTATTTTTTTTTAATACTATTGATCTTAACAAATATCATAACAACATTTGGTAAAAAATGCATGATAACGCAAATACAGATCATTTAATTGCTTTTTTTTTTTTAATTTTTTCTTGTTCTTGATTTTTTTTTTTTTGTTTTTTTATATTTGTTTTGGCCTTTGGTTCATGGAATAAAATCGAATCACAATAACAAACAAAAACAAGGAATGGGATCTGGGCATTGGCCTATTTCTCAAATTTTAAATCAAAGCCTAGTCCCAACAAAACAAAGTCTGTAACTGGACATAATTGACGAGGCAGGTAGAGGAAGTCGGCAGCTCGGCATTGGCAGGTGCTGTAATTTCCTCAAAATACTCACCGTTTTTTGCTCAACTTATTATCGGCTGGCAGTGAGGTTGAATGAAGAAAGTTGCAAGGTCAAGCCCGCCCGCATTCCTTTCTATAAAAACACAGTTAATCTCAGTTAGAGTCATTCAAGTCACCCATTGTGAATTGTGGAATTTCAAAAGCCTTTTTTTTTTTTTTCTGGTTTCCCCCATATACAGATACAAATATGTTACGATACAACCGAAGCAATTCGGCAATTACTTGCTGCTTCGCTATAACTAAGGGGAGGAGAGGAAAGCATCAATCATCCAAAAACAAAGAGGCATTGGGTCTCTCCAAATCTTGCCTTTTCATTAATGGCGGATCTCAAGTCAGCATTTCTCAAAGTGTATCCACAGTTCAAATCGGATCTTCTTCAGGATCCTGCTTTCGAGATTACTCATGATTCCCGTCAATGGGTTGATCGGGTTTTCACTTTCACTTTTCATTTCTTCCGTCCGTTTATTAATTTAATTTATAGTATGGTTTCATCTTCTGCTTTTGAGTTCAATTTCATGGTATGGTTGTAATATGTGGAGGCATTTTATCATAAGACATCTTCATCCAATTTACCTTTTAACTCTCACCCGATTCTTCATTTTTGTAAGCGTATTGTTATAGACTTAAGTACAGGCTTATAATATTATACATTCCGCGATTCTCTGTCTTGCCATACTGTTTCTTTTTTTTTTTTTTTTGACAATCCTATTTCCCTTACCCACTGCAGATGCTGGACTACAATTTGCTTGGAGGTATAACATATATTCTCTGCCTCATTAATCTAGTGCATTTTTTAAGCTTCTCTTGGCTTGGCTCTTCATAGATTGCAACTTTTTTGTTTTCTGTTTTCACTTTTCAGGGAAGCTGAATCGTGGACTCTCTGTAATTGATAGCTACCAGCTGTTGGACGAAGGAGAAGAATTGACTGAAGATGAGATTTTTCTCGCAAGTGTTCTCGGTTGGTGTATTGAATGGGTATCCCTCTAAATCACTGTGCCATGCTGCTTCTCATGATTTTTTCTTATGAAGATACTGATACTGTTGCTGCTGATAGTGTTTATGCTGTTATATGGGTTGACCATCTCGTGATTTCTCGCACTAAAAATTGCAGCTTCAGGCATATTTTCTTGTTCTTGATGACATAATGGATAACTCTCACACTCGTCGTGGCCATCCTTGTTGGTTTAGAGTGCCCAAGGTTTGTACTGTGTACTGAGTCTGTCTTGTGTTATGTCATTTTTTGGTCATATTTTTCCCTCTACGTAAATCAATTAACTTGTATGAACTGCCTTGTAGGTTGGTTTGATTGCTGTAAATGATGGTGTTCTACTTCGCAATCACATTTGCAGGATTCTCAAAATTCACTTTCGTGGGAAACCTTACTACATTGATCTGCTAGATTTATTTAATGAGGTAATTAAATTGGATATAACTTAAATTATCTTCATTAAAAAATTATCCTAAATTTTTCTAATATTTGCTTTACGCAGGTTGAGTTTCAAACTGCGTCAGGACAGATGATAGATCTGATTACAACACTTGAAGGGGAAAAAGATCTATCCAAATACTCATTGTTGCAGTGAGTGAAGCTTTAGCAATTATTTATTTCAAGAAATAAATGTTTTTGAACTAGTTATGCTTAATGCAACTGAAAACTGACCTCTTATGATGTTGTAGTCAAACAATGACAAATTATTCCAACATAAAAAGTGGCATGTACTGATTGGCATCGAATTATGCAACCATAATGAGAATAAATCATTTGTCAATGCCATACTTCACCTAATATGAATTTCTGTCATTTCAACTCTTTCTAATAGTAATTCTTATGTATCTCCTTACCTATATATATTGGTTAAAAATCTCTGCAGCCACTGCCGCATTGTTCAGCACAAGACTGCTTATTATTCATTTTATCTTCCTGTGAGTATCAACCTCCATTTCACTTGAAGCATGCACAGTGAATTATCAGCAATCCCTTTTTTTTTTTTTAGTGTTTTATTAAAGGACATTATTACCATTCCGATGATATTGCTCTGGATTTAGCCACATACAAATTGTTCCAAAATTTGATAAATTACATGATCTCCTTATTCCCTGCATCTGGTCTTGAATGTTCTTAAACACATAATTATATATATCAGAAGGTTGTCGGTTGGATTCACTAGTTGCCGCTTTATTGGCCATATCTCCTCTCAGATTCTCCATTTTTCTACCTCCATATATATCTTTAGGCTGCATCTACTGCTACTATTCTTGCATAAGAGGCTTTCTCTGAGTACTTTTAATTATTGACTTTGGAGTTTGTTAGTTGTATGGGGGTATTTGCTACTTATATTACCTAAATGAACAGGTTGCTTGTGCACTGGTTATGTCAGGTGAGAATCTTGATAACCACATCGATGTGAAGAACATTCTTGTTGATATGGGAATCTACTTTCAAGTACAGGTAATTTGGCCAAGCACATCTTACTTTAACTTCTGTAATTTTATTCTGCAAATAAAGCAGATAGGTGACAACTGAAAGTTAAATACAAGTGTAAATTCAATTTTTTAATTGTTTAAAAGAAGTACTTAAAGTTTTAGTTTATTTAGGCACTATAAGTTTGTTATTTTGGTTGAATTCTTAATAAGTTTCATTTAAGGATTGCCCAGCATGGTTTATCACTCCTAAAATGTGCTTGCAACGTTTCTTTCTTGGCTCAGATTAGTTTCTTGGATGCATTTTTTTTCTTGCCAGATCCTTTATGTTAATTATTGATTTTTCTTTTCTGCAGGATGATTATTTGGATTGCTTCGGTAATCCTGAGACCATTGGTAAGGTGAGCTCAGCATGATGGAACTAGAAGTCTTTCTGTGAAAATTAAAAAGGACTCATTATTAGGTTTTTTTTGCAAATTCTTACTCGAGCTCGTCGTAATCTCAGATTGGAACTGATATTGAAGATTTTAAGTGCTCTTGGTTGGTGGTCAAGGCATTGGAAGTCTGCAACGAGGAGCAGAAGATAGTATTATATGTAAGATTGGCAATGTTTCTATCAGTTGTCTGAATTTTTTTGTAAAATTTGATATTGTTATTCATTGATATTATGCTTTGCTTTCAGGAGCACTACGGGAAAGCAGACCCTGTCGATGTTGCTAAAGTAAAGGCTCTATACAACGAGCTTAATCTCAAGGTTTGACATATTTCAGGATTCCTTCTTCAAATATCAAAAGTAAGCAGGACATGTTTCGTGGTTGATATAACGGTATTTCCTGTTGTTGTTGTTGTTATTGTTTGTTTTTAATCTGAATTTGACAGGTTGCATTTGAGGAGTATGAAAGCAAGAGCTATGAGAAGCTGATAAGCTCAATCGAAGCTTATCCTATCCAAGCAGTACAAGCAGTATTGAAGTCCTTCTTGGAGAAGATTTACAAGAGGTAGTTCTCAAGTTTGCAAAGAAACAAATGAAGTTGGGATGATGTCTACCATTCGTAGTCTTGTATGGTCATTTGTATTCAAGCTTTTATAATTGGCAGATAAATCAATCTTATTGTAGTCTATTCCAGCAAACATTTAGTGCTCCTGGATGGATTCTGGTTTTTTGGATTTAATAAATGAAGTTCATTCGCGGCCAAATTGAAAAACTGAAAATTTTTTTGTTTTATATAGATTGTGATTATTAGTAGTAAATACTTAATAGTAGTTTTTTTTTTTTTCTTGCGTAATTAATAAAATCAAATAAAATCAAATCGGCATTCATTTGCCACCACATCTTTCTCGTTGACATTCGTTCGATTAGGGTGGTGAGGTGATGAAAAAAAAATGTAAAATTAATAGATGAAGTGCTTGGTTGTTATAAATGAACCAGACAGACGCCTACCTAGAAGCCGAAGGTGGCTTATAAGTACTACTAACTGTACTAGTTGTAGCAATGTTCTTTTTATTTTCTACTAATTAATATATATAGTAATCGAATTCAACGTAAATAACATTCATTATAACGTCAAAAAGTCAACACTGAAACGCTCCTCCTTTCTTTTCTTTTCTTCAACAAAACAAAACAAAGAAACATCTCCTTTGCTTTGCTTTCGAAGATGATCTCCTCTTTCCAGTCTTGACATAGTTAGTCTGCATCTTTTCAAAAGAAATATACGTTCTTTTTAGTATAAAATAAAATCTGTTTCTTCTTCAAAAATTAATTCTCTGTGTCTGGGGCCACTTCATTTCTTCGCTCTTTACTCTATATATTTATTACTACGAATAACCAGTAGGAGTATTGGATTGTATTGTATTTATACTTATATGACAAGTTGTGGTTTTTGTTTTTGTCTTCTTCAGCAGCGAATGGAGCTTTTTTTCATATTGAAAATTCATATTGCTTTGCAAAATTTTATTTCTAATTAAGCAAGGAAAAAACTACTGGGCATTGCCTTAATTCATCGTAAAGTTAAACATTATCAAGGCCAATGTTCGAACATTCTTTATCAGGATTGGATTGAGCAGCACTAACAAATTGGATAGTCTTTGATCCCACAAATATGTTGGGCCTAAAATAATAAACACACCAACGTAAAAGCAATACATTGCAATAAACTCACAATAATAAACAACAATCAATAATAAAAAAATATGAGAAAAATAAAGCACACCAATATTTACTTGAAAAACCGTCCGGTGTAAAGAGAAAAACCATGGACCACCAAGAAAAATATTACATTATCAAATAATTGATATATAAAGTTCTTTTTTAGCTAAAATTAAAGCTAATCAACAACTAAAGAGGTAATTAGAGAAATCTCATCAGATACACCCTAGATTTATTCTTAGAAAGCCTCAAACCCGATCTTCACCGTTCAAAATGTAGAACATTGAATCATAAACTTGCTGATAAAATTTTAGCTTAATCGGACCATGGATCATCTTTCGTTCAACAAACTCTCCCTTCTCCATTTTCTGTCTATTTTCTTGACTTTTTTTTCCCTACCTTTTCTAAGTTTGCGGCACCACCTTTTTTTATTAAGTAGTTAGGGTTCTGTGTAAAAAGAAAAACCAAGATCCATAGCCTTTGATTAGTCCAAACCAAACTATATGGGATTGGATATTATTTTCCTAACAATCTCCCCCTCCAGCTCCATTAGGAAGAGATTCATCATCATAACAGTTTAATTTAGAATTTAACCTTGGCCAAAGAACTTATTTTGACCAAGTTAGTGCAGAGCTCAAGCTTTTCGCTAGGAAGATCTTAGTCAAAATATCTGCTATATTCTCATCAGTATGAATTTTCTTCAATAGTATCTGTTGTTCTTTAATCACTAAACGTAACCAGTAATATCTAATATCAATGTACTTCGTTCTAGCATGGTACATTGCATTCTTACTTAAATCTAAAGCACTTTGGCTATCTAAGAATACCACATACTTTTTCTGATTCAATCCTAATTCAAGAAGAAAATATTTCATCCAAATCGTTTCTTTACCTGCTTTAGTTGTTACAATATACTCAACTTTTGTGGTTAACAAAGCAACACACTTCTGTAATTTAGACTGCCAAGATACAACTCCTCCTACAAAAGTGTATAAATACCCTGAAGTAGATTTTTTATCATCAAGATCACCTACTATGTTAGCATCAATAAACCCTTCTAGAACTGATTGTGAAATTTCATAACTCAAACAAATTTTTGAAGTACCTTTCAAATATCTGAAAATTCATTTCACTACTTCTCAATGAACTTTTTTCGAATTAGAAAGAAATCTGCCTACTACACCAACTACATGAGCAATGTTAGGCTGTGTATAAATCATAAGATACATAAAAAAACCAACTGCAGAAGAATAAGGAATACTAGACATAGCTAATTGCTCTTTCTTAGTCATCAGACAAGATTTTTTACTCAAATAAAAATGGTTAGTAAGTGGATTGCTAACTGATTTAACATGTTACATGTTAAATCTACTAAGCACCCATTCAACATACTTTTTCTATGATAACTACAGTTTTCCAGTTCTCCTATCTTGAATAATATCCATACCGAAAATATGCTTTGCTGGACCTAAATCTTTCATATCAAAGGACTTAAATAGTTATTCTTTCAACCTGCGAACCATACCAGCATCTGGTCTCATAATTAATATATCATCAACATATAATAAGAGAATAATGAAGTTACCGTTAGAAAATTTTTTGACATACATACAAGGATTTGCTATCGTTCTTTTATAGATGCGACTCACCATAAAATAATCAAACTTTATATACCACTGTCGCAGAGCTTGTTTCAAGCCATACAAAGCTTTTTTTCAGCTTGCAAACTAAGTGCTCTTTCTTTGTCACTTCAAAACCTTCAGGCTGATTCATATAAATGTCCTCCTATAAGTCACTATGTAAGAATGCAGTCTTGACATCAAGTTGCTCAAGCTCAAGATTTGAACTAGCTGCTAATCCCAGTATCACTTGAATGGAACTCATTTTCACAACTGGAGAAAAGATCTCATCAAAATCGATGCCTGGTTTCTAAAAAAAACCTTTCACCACCAATTGAGCTTTGTACCTCACTAACTTGTCACCATCTTTTTTTAACTTAAACACTCATTTATTTTTTAACGGCCTCATCTCTTTTGAAAGTTTAATAAGATCATATGTATCATTTTTTCATAATAACTCTATCTTTTCTTTCATTACTTTTAACTAGTGCTCTTTATCCGAAATAGCTTGCACATCTTAAAAGTTCACTGGCTCTCCCTTACTGGTAATTAAAATAAAATCTAAACTTGGATACCTAGTAGATAACCTGTGCTCTCTAATAGATCTTCTAGGTTAAAACTTTACCCCATCTGATGTCGAAGGTAGCTCTTCCTGCTCAATACTCTTAGGTAGAAAGGATTACTTTTCCTGCTCAAAATTGATTGCATATGGCTTATCACTAATTATGAATGATTTATTCATATCTTTAAGTTTTGTTTCTTACTCATTTTCACCATTCGTGGCTCTTTTCTGTGAAACTCCTATCGATGTTGAAATATCATACTTAATAGTAACTCATGTGGTCCTTTCATTTTTTTAAGGTTTGGTATGATTTTTTTCATGAAAGATCACATCTCTACTTCTGACTATCTTTCTCTTCATTGGATCTTATACCTTGTAGTCAAATTCTTCATCACCATATCCTACAAACACACACTATATGGTTTTACTGTCAAGTTTTAGCCTCTGCTTTTTTAGCATATGCATGAATGTTTTACACCCGAAAACTTTCAAGTGAGAGTATGAAACATCTTTCCCTGTCCACACTTTTTTCTGAAATGTCATAGTCTAAAGGAACTAATGGTGATCTATTAAACAAATAACAAGTTGTGTTGACTGTTTCACCTTAGAATGGCTTTGATAATTTTGTCATCCTCAACATGCTTCTGACTTTTTTCATAATGGTACGGTTTATCCTTTCAGCTACCCTATTATACTGCAGTGTTTCAGGTTCTGTCATCTCATACATGATCCTATGCTTTGAATAGTAATCTTCAAAGTCTTTGGATATGTATTCCCCATAATTGTCAGTTAGAATACATTTCAAAGGTCACCCTATCATCCTTTCCATCATGGCATAAAATTTTTTAAAATAATGCAATACTTGACTTTTATTTTTCAACATATACACCCAAGTATTACGTGAGACATCATCAATAAAAGTAACAAAATACCTGCCACCTAATGACTCAACCTTAATAGGACCACATACGTCATAATAATTAATTCCAATCTATTTTTTTTAAAACTCTTACGAAAAAAAATTCTACGATACTTACCAAACAAACAATGATTACATGAATGGAAAAACATACATTTGGTCAAGAGAATAAGAGACTGCCTTGCCAAAACTTGTAACACATTCTCACTCATGTGTGCCAGGCTTTTGTGCCACAAGTTTACTAAAGCATCATTCTTAATGGCATTTATCTGGTTACCGTTCAATTGCATCCATGTCTTATACATTGTGCAACATAGTTTTCCTCTTGCAACTATCATAGATCCTTTGAGAAGCTTTCACTGCTCATTCTTTTGTTGACTCTTATATCCTTTTTTATCAAGAATATTAATAGCAAGTAAGTTTATTCTTATATCTGAAATGTGTTTGACATCCCTCAAAGTTAATATACAGCTTATACTAGTTTGTACAATAATATCACCAATCCTAACAATCTGTAACACATTCTTATTTTTTATCTTGGTACAATTAAAGTCTCCTGCTTTGTAAGTTGTAAACAACTCTCTCTTAGGAACACAATGATATGTCGTTTCTGTGTTAATTATCCATTCAATACTCAGATCACCAACATGATTACAATCATCATGTGTACAAATCAAAGTAACTAAATCACTATCTGAATTCATTGTTACAACATTATCATTATTCGAACTCTTACCTTTCTCATTTTTTCGCTTTTGCTTCAGGATTTTGCAGTATCATTTTGTATGACTTGTTTTACCACAATGGAAGCACTTTACTTTATCTTTGGACTTGGATCTATGTTTAGACTTACTACGACCTTTTGAGTTTTGACCTCTGTCAATGTTTTTACCCTTGTTCTTTGTAACCAGAGCTTGATTTCTAAGGTCTAAATCTTTTCGCCTTGCTTCTTTATTAAATATACTATCATTTACCATCTTCAATGTCACCTTATAATCAGGAGCTGAATTAAGAATAGTCACAACTAGAGTATTCCAATTGTCTGGTAATGAATCCAAAAAAAATAACGCCTTCATTTTATCATCTATCTTAAGCTCCATAGTAGTCATTCGATTAAATATATATCTTTAAAATCACTCAAATGCTTTGTAATCGATCATCCATCTACGTACTATAAAGTTGTAAGCTTTTTAACAAGCATAACTTTATTTATACATGTTTTTCTCTCATACAATGCTGTCAATTTTTCTCAAATAATATGAGCATCTGTCTCTTACGTTACATGATAGAACATGCTGATATCAACCTATTTTTTTATTGTAGCAAGCATCTTTCTTCATCCAGCTTTTATCTTTCATATCTGTTGATTTAGCCGAATCACCCAATACCGACTTATATAAATCTTTACAGTATAAATGATATTTCATTATAGGCTTTTAAATTGAATAATTTGATACTATTAATTTTATTATGAAACTTGTATCACTCTTCATGATCTTAAACAGAATTTACTTTTGTCTTAGGTTACTTCTGTATCAATGTTTCAAAATAACCCTCGCTTTGATAATACTTGTTGCGGAGATAAACCACACTTGGAGTCCATGAAAGCATATCAGAAAGCTTATATATACATATTAGACACCACTTGAGTCTAAAAGTTTAAGTTATTAGGTTCTTGGGTTTTTCATATATATATATATATATATATAGAGAGAGAGAGAGAGGATATCTCATTTAAATTTTTTAATAATGTAAAATGTTTTTACTCAAATATGAATCATATCATAATAGATAAAGATTTCATTAAGACAAGGCATGTCAAAACAGGACTGCAAGATTAGATCGAGAGTGATGCAGTTGTTTGGTGCAGTTCCAGTTGAGGGGTGTGGACAAAAACAAGTCAAATATTTTAATGTGAAAAAAAAAAAAGAGAAAAAAGAAAAGAAAGGCAGGGTCAGAATTTAGAATCTCAATCTGAAGAAGCTTGGCGATTAGTATGCTGATCAGATCTGATGCTGAATTCTGTCATGTAAAGATGAGAACAAAAATTCGGACGAGGCTGTTGAATATAGCAATGCAAGGTGACGAAGAAGGAAAAAAAATTTGGATTCCACCTCACCAACCAACCACCATATATCACAATATGATTTGAATATTTATTTGACAGTATATATACTTAGCTAATATAAAATTCAACATTTGCCTGCTTCATTTTAGTTAGCGCCGGCTTCTTAGGCTCTTTAATTTGTCAAGTTTGGTGTCCTACTCCTATATATACGACTTATACCTTTTTTTTGACAAAAATACTAGACTTATACTTAGCAATTGTAATGATCTATCTATTAACATGAATACGAGTATCTCAGAACTTTTATTCATATTTTTGAATAATTTTAAAAAGTATATTTTTTATATTATTTGATGCGCTTAAGATTTTAATCACGAAATGCTTTCCATAAATATTAAACTCGAATTGACAAAAAAATAATACTTCTCTTGTGAACTAAATTAGTGTATTGTGAGTAGTATTGAGGATGACAAAGTTTAAATATTTGCATAAAATTAAGGAAAAACTGTAAATGGAAAGCAAATAAGATCAAAGGTTTTATATTATCTTCCGATATAACCACAAATATAAACAAATCAAAAACAATTCTTGTGTTAAGATGGTTTCCTTAATTTGTTTAATTTCATTTTATTTAGATCGGAAGATCACTCCAAAAGTCAAATTCGGAGGCCGAACCATAAAGCAATCAAGAATTGGGCTCACCACCATAAATCTTGGGCTTCCTGTGAGACAATTACTGTTACTATGGGCGGAATGGCGTTGTTGCTTCCGGGCCAGCCCGTCAAAGAAGCAATTAGCAAAAAGCAGTGCCGCTGATTGCGTAGATTCTCAAAAGGAATAACTTTCCATACTTCTGTAACTCTGTTGTTTTTTATGGATGGAATTTGAAGAGGGTTGTTAGTTTGTTACATTACTTGGTGATTGTGTTGGTGGAAAAAGGATTGAAGCGAGCAATGAAGGGTGAAAATCCAAATCCAAGTCCAAGGAGCGGTGCTGCTGCTGAGCTTCTCTGTGGTGTGAACGCAAAAGCACTGTTGGATTCCGTCGATGCATTTCTCTTCGATTGCGATGGTTCCACTTCTACACTTTTCTACTCCTCTTTGTTTTTTTTTTTTTGTTTTTTCGTTGATTTTGCTATGAATAAAAGGAACGATGCAATTGCAGGTGTCATTTGGAAGGGCGACAAGCTGATCGATGGAGTTTCCCAGACGCTGGACCTGCTTCGATCCAAGGTCTCTCTCTCACCCTTTTGCTTTCCATTTGATTATTGAATTTATGGATCATTCTGACTCGTGACTTGGTGAAACGATTGATAATATTATCTGATTAAAAGGGGAAGAAGCTGGTATTTGTGACCAATAACTCCACCAAGTCCAGAGCCCAATATGCTAACAAGTTTCGTTCTCTCGGACTCTCTGTTACCCAGGTTATAAATATTATTAAAATTTGCTATTTCCTTCTTTGCATTCTGCAAAGTCAAGAAAAGAAAAACTCTTCGGTTTCTGTCTCACTGTTCTGTATTTGTAGGATGAGATATTTTCCTCATCTTTTGCAGCCGCTATGTACTTGAAGGTCAATCATTTTCCTCCCAACAAGAAGGTTCCCAATTTTTCTCTTTTCAGTCCTTCAACACTTTAATTTCTTATTGCTCTTCTCTCTTAACTGTATTTTTACTGCTTAATTCTGCTTACCCTGTCCCTTATACCCTCTATTCAGGCGGAATGATATTTTTTGCTTCATGCATATTAATTTCATCTTCTGCACACTATTCTAAGTTTGTTCGTTTTCCAGGCTTATGTCATAGGTGGAGAAGGCATATTACAAGAGTTGCAGCTTGCTGGATTCACCGCTCTTGGTGGCCCAGTACCTTCTTCGTCTTTTCAATTTTCTTTTCCATCTCATGACTTTGGAGTTTGGACTAGGAATACATCCTCTTCTTCTCTATTTACCTTGGAATAACAAAAGTTCTTCACTTTTTAACCTCCTTACCTTTCAACCCATGTCTACCTTCTTGTTATTACCTCAGGGTTTGGGTTATATGTTCCACATATGGACTCTGCTTTATATATATATATATATATATATATATATATATATATATATATTTATTTATTTATATATATAGACACACACCACACATGATTTCTTTTCAATTTCTTATTTACCATATCCATAAATGCAACATTTTCACTCTATTTATTATTTCATCCAAAAGTTACATACAATACAATTAACATGCTTGCTTGTGTGACGCACTCCTCTTGCCTTTGTCTGTTGCTTTGATATAGTGTCTTTGTTTGTGTTTCATTATAATCTACTCTTTTCTACCGTGTTTGTTTGTCTTGCATCATAATCTATTGCTTTATTGAATTCAAATTACTTAGATGAAATATTTATTGCAGGAAGATGGAGAAAAAAGGGTTCAGTTGAAATCAAGTTGTTTCTTTGAGCATGATAAGAATGTAATATGACTTCTTGCCCACAATTTCTCTGAGCATGCTACTTGTTCTGTTCCTACATGAATTTGATAAAAATTCAACTTCTACCCCCAGGTTGGAGCCGTTGTTGTTGGATTAGATCCAGATATTAACTATTACAAACTTCAGTAAGTTAAAATTTTCATTTACTCTTTTTTACGATGTTAAGAGTACGTTATATAATCTTTTTTGTTGCTTTTGAATATATGTGATTAAAACTTCTTCTATGCTTATTCCACAAGCATGTTATATTTTGTGCAACTGCACAGAAAATGCAGGGTTTGAACCATATAGTAATTAGATGTCTACTGACTGTCTTTGATATTTTGGGAAAATATTTTAGTACATTCTCTAAAATTATGGTTTTTTTGAAAGCTGTCCTCTGCCAAAATAACTTAGAATCAGTTTTTATTCCCCATAAATTTCTTTGCTAACCATTTCTATTTTGTCTATTGGTCATTAAAACAACCTTGGGCAAGTTCTGAACCATATACACCAATGACACAGTCTTATGAGATATTTTATTACTTTGATCAGCCGTATATTTTCTTAATTTCTTAATTTATATTGTTACTCTAAAAGGTATAATTCTTCTATGTATCCGTCATCTTATTAACCCCTACACATTGTTAAACTGAAAATATGAGTTGTTCCCTCCTAGAATAGATATTTGCAACAGTGAATGCTCTCAGGGATCATTTTTATCATGTTAAATACTAGTTACCCTAGTCTTTTGTCTTAACAAAATGATGGCTTAGGAACATCGAGGAGATTTTAGTTACAACATTTGGCTGGACGAGTAGCAAATGCTAATAATTTCCTTCTATTAATCTTACAAAGCCTAGACTAGGTCTAAACGAACTCTTACCAGATGGGTTATAGGTCATTTGGCATTTTTTTTTTTTTTTGATACTTTCTTGAAAATAATTTCAACTGGCAGGTATGGGACCCTTTGCATCCGTGAGAACCCAGGGTGCCTTTTTATTGCAACAAACTGTGACTCAGTAGGACATATGACCGATCTACAAGAGTGGCCTGGTAAAGAAATTAGATTAAGTCTGCAATGCTTGCTTGAGAGTTCCACTTTATTTCCTTTCTTAGTTATTATTTGCAGGTGCGGGGTGCATGGTTGGTGCCATTTGTGGGTCAACTGGACGAGAGCCTATTGTAGTTGGAAAACCGTCAACCTTCATGATGGAATTTTTACTGCAGAAGTAAGTTATTTTAATGCAGTAGTCCTGTAGGTATACCAGCCTGCAATGAAAATTTTGTGTAATTTGCATTCATATGGACTTAGGTCTCTGGAGTCTACTTTGAACTGACTAGGTGGTATTACATGCAAACTGTGAAGATAGAGAATTTCTATTGCACAATTATGAATGAATCTGACTGTTAGGCTCTTAAAAATTCATTTCGCTTGAGATGATTGTGTCCACTGCATTAAAATGAAAATGGCATTTTCCCAGTTTGGAAACAAATGGGGTAGAAAAGTGTGCTATGTGGGGTGCTTCCTGATATAGATGCAAGTAGATACAGATAGTTTGCGATAATCCTTCTTATGCTATGTTTTGCGTTGCAGATTTCATATGAGTCCATCCAGAATGTGTATGGTGGGTGACAGACTAGATACAGATATTTTATTTGGACAAAATGCTGGCTGTAAAACTCTGCTTGTTCTTTCAGGTTTATTGCTATCTCTTGTTCTTAGACTGCCAAAAGTAAGAGCGTGCTAAGGTTTCCTAATATTTCTTGGTGTTTGCAACGGCTAACTTTTCAGGAGTAACAACAGAATCGATTCTTGGTGACTCCTCAAACAGCATTCAGCCAGATTATTACACAAGCAAGGTCTCCGATATTCTCAAATTATTGGGGGAATGACCTGATTGTTTTATGATTAGTCATTCTTCGTGCCTGTTTGGCAGTGCTACTTGCAAGTTTTTATTTGAACAAATACTGTCAAATAATAGTTGCAAATTACTCTACCAGGGAAACATTCTCAAATTATCAGGAATTGACCAGATTGCTGTATGGGTAATAACTCTTTTTAAAAAAAAAAAAAAGAATAAAGATCAAAGCATTATGTTTTCATGAAAGACACTTTTTAATCTTTTTGTTCTTTTGACAAAATGGATGAAATATCACTTATTTTATTTGCCTAGATAAAGTCACTCATTAGCATGATCAAGATCATGATCATCATACTTAGCCGCATTACATATAAAGGAACATGTATTGGCTGTGTACTAGAATGGAGCGAAACAAAACCATGATGCCCAACTAATCAAAGCAGGCTCCAGTACTATTTGTGTGTATTGTATCTAGAATGGGCCATCCAACTCAACTGAGCAAAGCAAGCTGCAGAAATTTTTACGTCAATATTATCTAGAATGGGCCTTCCGGTCTAACTGATCAAGGCAGGCTGCAACCTGCAATATTGTTTCTGTTTGTAGTATCTAGAATGGGCCTTTCAACCCAACTGATCAATAAGCTTTCTTCATATACGATAGGGAGAGAGAGTCTTAAAGCCCGAGACGATTTTGTGTTTTAGTTGGAGATCAAGGAGCAAGAAGAAGAAGCAATAGGGTTGTGGAGAAAATAACAAAAACAATTCCGTCTACCGAAATTATAAGAGCATTTATTTAAATGATTGGAGCTTGATATATTAAATAAAATAAGTCACAATTCTATTTGTTCGGGCTTTTTTTTTTTTTTTAATATCGGAGTGGAAATTGAGATTATTTGGATTCAAATCCAAATCTTATAGTATACAACTGTTTTAATCACTGCAACCAATAGATTACAGACAAGAGTTACAATTTTTATATTAGTCGTTTGTATTTAGTGTAATAATAAGAGAAGAGGGTATGACATTTGTTAGATATATATATATATATATATAGAGAGAGAGAGAGAGAGACTTTGGATTATCTAAATTGAAGGTCATATTCGCATCAATAAATTTGGTTTATTAATTTTATGGTTCATATTGGCATCGTAATGAATTCCTAACCAACTTGCATCTTTTAATCAATGAGATTTCATAGTCAGTCCCGTATTGCTATTGCCTATTGGGACCTCATCTCTTGCATACTCAGTTGTACATAAATCCCATTCCCCCCCCACCACTAACCAATTAAATCCTTGTCGCATCGATTTCAATTCAGAACAGAAACAAATGGCCCTAATTACATTTTGGTTTCGGTCCAACGATTAACTTTAAGATGGATTTAGGAAGAGAAAAGGATCCTCCTGGATAATTACTCAATCATAATAAATATGGAAAACGCTAGCTGCTAGATATTGTATTTTCTTGGATGATTCACTTGTACACTTGCACAACACACGACACACTGCAACGGCTGCCTAGTACTCGTACTAGTTAATTTTCAAGTCCAACAATTTCATCTATTTTTGGTCCCATGATTTTACTGTCTGCTCTAATGCTTGTTAATAAATACCCAATTTAGGCAATCGGCCATCCTAATGTCGGCATAAATTGTTGGAAATTATTTTCAAAACAATGAAATTTTAAGTGATAAATTTAATCAAGGGTATAAAAAAATCAAATGGAACAAAACTAGATTTCAGCTTTGGTAAGGGTAAGTCGACCGTCCATAGTTGACTCCCATGGTTTTTACGTTGAAAAGAAACTTTTTGTTATAAATTTTATAAATTTACTCTTGAGAAGTTAATTGCCCAAAATGAGGAAGTCGGACTATTCTGATAAGATAAAAACCTTTTGTTTGTAAAATACACAAACAGTCGGACACTCATATGACGCAATCAACTGTCCTAATTTTGAAAATAATATATATATATTTTTTGAAATGTAAAAAAATGATTTCTCTTTAGATAAAAAAAGTATAATTATTTAAATGAATTAATATAATTTTAATGATTGAAAAATATATTTTTTTTATTAAAAGAAATGTTCTTTAATTGAAATAATAAAATAAAAAAATCATAACCTTAAATTTTAATCTCTATAAATAAATATTATGACTATTTATGTGGAGAAATTCAACAGAATAAATAACATAGAAACTCTCTCTTTTTTTTCTATTTTTTCACAAATAAAATAAAATTACTTTAACATTATTTTTGCAAAAAATTAAAACTCAAAGATTGATGATTTTGTTTCATCCAAAGATTTTAATAGTTTGAGATAATGAGTGGAAAGTGAAATCAAATGAGATTTCATTTTATTTTAAAAATATTTTAGTTATATCTTTTTAATATACCATGAGTGACATAGACAAAATAAACCTTAAAAAAATGTGGTATTTGCAAGACATTTTAAAATTATTATTATTATTATTATTTGTTTTAAGTTTTGTCTTAAGATCAACTAAGACTTAAAGAAAAACTACGATTGAAGATACAAGTAAAAAAAAATCATTATCAAATGTTGCAAATTCGTGATGAAGATGTGAGTTTTAGATCTTAAATTTTCTTAACATAGATTATAATTATTATGTGACTAATTTTTCGTTGGGTCATAGTTCAACGAGTCTTAAAGATTTTCATAGCCTAATATATGATTGTTGGTTGGCTATAACGTTTCCTTTCTTTTTGCTTTGTTAGTTTTTATAATTGGAGAAAGGAAAGAATAAAGAACAAGTAGAAAGGGTAAGAGAGCATTATTATTTTCTTTTAACATAAAAGAGAAGATGAATGAATATTTATTAAGATATGTTAGTACATATAAACAAACAATTACTCTGTTTTGCCATGATAATGAAGTAAATCAAATAGAAAAAATACTTGTTAGTATTAATATAAGGGTGTGAATTAATAGTTGAATCAAGGGGGCAAAAGATGAGAAGAAAAGGGGTAGGCCGTGAAACTGAGAGAGAGAGAGAGAGAGAGAGAGAGACTATCCTTTCTCTGTTTATGTCTGGCAAATCTGCGAAAATATAAATGATTGAGGCAAATTTAATAAATAAAAAATAGTTAAAAATGGTTTAATTAAGCTTTGGTTTGACTTTGACCCCACTTCGGCTACAGTGTAGCTGTTCAGCAGCAGAAGTGAAGGCCCGGTCCATTTGGATTTTTGAAACACGCAGGTCACAAGCACCCTTTCTCTCTCTCTATTTCTCAACCTTCCATTAGTTCGGCTTCTCTCTCTCTCTCTCTCTCTCTCTCTCTCTCTCTCTCTAAAGCCTAAAGCCAATTGGGTGGTGGTGGTGGTGGTGGTGGGTGCGGCTGTTACTTTTATAGGAGGCTAGCAAGGGAGCTCTCTTACCACTTCGACCGTGCTTTCTCCTCCATGCCAGTCCCTTGCTCTTCTGTCACAATTCCTTGGTCTTCTCATAATTTGATTTCATTGGTACTTTCTTTTATCTTTGATGGCGTCGTTGCGTCTCTGCTTAATACAGTTAGTTTCTCTCTCTGGCGTTTCAGTTTTTAGTGATTGGGTTTCTCTTCTTGCTTTGGATCTGTCTTGGGTTTTTATTTAAAGCTCTACTTTCTTTTTGTGATGGAGATCTGGTTTCAGTTCTTTTTTTGTACTATTCATCATCTTCCACGCGCTGCCTTTTCATCATTTCATCCCATCCCATTTTCTTACTTAGCTCACTCTTTATTTTAAGGAGAACAAACCAAAAAAAAAAAAAAAAAACTTTTTACTGGTCCTAGAATTCAGTCTTCTACGCCGATTTATTTTGTCATTTTTTTCCTTTTCATTTTCCCATCTGTTTTGGTTTTATCCCTTCTTTTAATTTTCTTTTTGGGGAAAGTTTGCATACGTGAGTGGCATAACTATCTCATCTCAATCTTTGACTTGCTGCTCATTTCTTTTATACTAGGTTTCATCTAATACAGCAACCACTGCTCCCTGAAGGCTGCTTCGTGATTGATTCTTTTTATTTATTGGGCTGCTTTGTACCTCGGTTAATAGATTTGTTTCTTTGTTTATTGTACATTTCTGGTATTTGTACTTCAAATATGCTTCTGGGATTCTTCTCCCATTACAGATCAGCTAGTTATACTTTCACACCTCAATGAATCATGATGGGTTTTGATAATTTTTTTTTGCTTTGATAGATTAACTATTGCCGTTGGTGGAATTAGAAGGGCAACCATGTTGAACTTCAAATAGAGATATGGTGCTCTTTGTAATAATTGCTGAACAAAGGATGTGTGAGGTTGGATGAGAGTATTTGAAATTCTTCCTCCCCCGTAATGGCCTCAAAATCTGGCGCCAAAATTTCTTCTAAACAGCAGTCCAAGACAAGCACTGTCCAAAGAGTAGAAGCAGATGAGCCAGAGCCTTTACCCTCAAATGTTTCCAAGACAAACAAATCTGAGCTGGTTACTCCCGAATACCTCCTCAAATTGGTAGAAACTGCACCAAAACAAGTTGAGGTGGAGTGTTATGAAAATAAAAGGTCACCAATTTTAGATCAAAATGGTTCTGTTGAATCTTTAACTAATAAGTTTGAATCAAGCTCATTTTCACCATATGTTGAACAAGCATCAAGCGGAGTAGATTCTTCCATTTATAGGACTAGAGATTCACCTGCAATTTCTGTTGATCTAGAAAAGAAAACGTCAGAGTATGGAAGTGTTAAAAACAGCTCAGTATCTACCAAAGTTAGTGACGGGACCAATAGTCTTGCCAAGACTAGTGGAAGTGCCAAGATTAGCGACCGTCTTGATAATGTTGGGAGTGGCAAGAGCAGCATGTGCAGAGGCAGCACAAGCAGTGATGTGAGTGATGAAAGCACATGCAGCAGCTTTAGTAGCAGTATCACTAAGCCTCACAAAGGGAATGACTTGAGATGGGAAGCTATCCAGGTTGTCAGGACAAGAGATGGGGTTCTAGGTTTGAGCCATTTTAGACTGCTGAAGAGGTTGGGTTGCGGGGACATTGGGAGTGTCTATCTGTCAGAGTTGAGTGGAACTAAGTGTTACTTTGCAATGAAGGTTATGGACAAAGCATCTTTAGCAAGTCGTAAAAAGCTGCTTCGGGCTCAAACAGAAAGAGAGATACTGCAATCTCTTGACCATCCCTTCCTTCCTACACTTTACACACACTTTGAGACGGAGAAGTTCTCCTGTTTGGTAATGGAGTTCTGCTCTGGTGGAGATTTGCACACCCTTAGGCAGAGGCAGCCTGGGAAATATTTTCCAGAGCAGGCGGTAAAGTATGATAAGTAAACTTTGAAATGATATTTCATGTTCTTCACCGTGATGCGCATACTTTTTCTTGTTCTCTTCCTTTTCAATAATCTATGATGAGCTTGTTTTCAATCCTAAGTTGCACAGTTGCTTAAACTGCTTTAGGGCACTTTGTCTTTTATAATTCCTAAATTTTCTAGCATCTACCTAAATAAAATATAGAAAAATGCTGTGCTTTTTTATGTTTTTGAAACATATATGCCTATATTCATCTAGTTCCCTTTCCTCATATTCAAGACCCTTTTTTTTGTTATGGGGTAATACCATCTACCATGGTGATAAAGTTTGCATGTACGTTAGGTTGACATATTCTGGAAGTGATTTTCTTGATGTTTTAAAATAAAGTTACAATCCATATCTTTTAAGTGCCTGAATTCTATTTCTTTTAACATTAGATTAGTCTAAATTAATCACGTGAGAACATTGAATCATGTTTACTTATGCATGCTGTGCACCTTGTATTTTACACTTATTGGAGTATGTTCTTTTTATTGGATCATGTGGCTCAAAGTTATAATAATGGGCAACATAACAGAGCTGCCTATGTCTAGGCTTCTCAACATGATAGATATCAAAGTATCATCTTAAAGCCATATGGTGTGCCAAGTCACTTAGAAACAGAGTTCAGTTCCTTCCTTTCCAATATCCATGTCCTACAAAATTTTTTCTTTCAGTTATCTGACCTGCTAACTTTTTTCTCTGGGAACGGTTGGGAAGTTAAGCAAGTCCTTAACTTACTACTAGTGGAATGGACTAGTACAGCTTATTAAGAAAGTTTAAGAACCTTTGATGCCATACCTTGAAATCTTGTATGCTGATATTAGGCTGAATGTGAATCCCTTTGAAAGGCATTGATTTTGTAGGAGTTCAGTCAAATACAAGTTCATTTTATTAATTTATTCTATAATTGCATTTATCAACAGGTACACAAATGCAATGTGTTTGAAATTTGTGCATGTTTCTGTGAGCTTTATAGTAATTTTGACTTTTATTGTAATTTGCAGATTTTATGTAGCAGAGGTCTTGCTTGCATTGGAATATCTCCACATGCTTGGGATCATCTATCGTGACCTTAAGCCAGAAAATGTTCTTGTGAGGGAAGATGGTCATATAATGCTCTCTGATTTTGATCTTTCCCTTCGTTGCAGCGTCAGCCCAACTCTTGTCAAGACATCTTCTCTTGAATCAGAACCATTAAGGAAGAACCCTATTTACTGTGTCCAGCCTGCTTGTATCGAACCTTCCTGCATTCAGCCATCTTGTGTTGCTCCAACAACTTGCTTTTCTCCCCGACTCTTTTCTAGCAAGTCCAAGAAAGACCACAAACCAAAAAATGAAATTGGAAACCAAGTTAGTCCATTACCTGAGCTAATAGCAGAGCCAACTGATGCCCGTTCAATGTCATTTGTTGGGACCCATGAGTACTTGGCACCAGAGATCATCAAGGGTGAGGGTCATGGAAGTGCTGTTGATTGGTGGACTTTTGGAATCTTCCTTTATGAACTCTTGTTTGGTAAAACTCCTTTTAAGGGATCTGGGAACCGGGCAACGTTGTTCAATGTTGTGGGACAGCCTCTTCGGTTTCCAGAATCACCTGTTGTCAGTTTTGCAGCAAGGGACCTCATAAGGGGGCTACTTGTAAAGGAACCACAACATAGATTGGCTTATAAACGAGGGGCAACTGAGATTAAGCAACATCCCTTCTTTGAAGGTGTGAATTGGGCATTGGTTCGTTGTGCTACCCCTCCTGAGATTCCAAAGCCAGTTGAGCTTGAACGGATACCAGCTCCACCACTGGCATCAACAGGTGAAAAGGTTGCTGCCAATGCAGCTGCTTGTGATCAGAAAGGTTCAGACAATTATCTGGAGTTTGATTTCTTTTAGAAGTCCATGCTATTAATTGCAATACCCAGTTTGTTTCTATTTAGCGGCAAGAATTATTCTGAACGTCTCAGGGGTTGTTGGTGATGAGGATAAAGTCTTCTTGTTGACGGATATAAGGAGAAAATGTATGTTTGTTGTTGCTGCCTATTTAAACAATTTTAAATCTGTGTTTCATAATTATTTCATGAACTGCCTCCGCCTCTCCTTTTACCCTGCGCTTCAATGAGTGGTTTCTTCTGTCCTAGACCTAGAGTACTGGAAACATGGATGGATATATGATTTCGAACCTGGTTATGGCAACCATAGAGCAATGCGGATTGATCAGCAGCTATAATTTTACGAAACGAGAAGCAAAATTATTTGATATGTAAATAATATTTCCTTTTGGTCGCTTTAAAGGTTTGTAGATCCAAGATTAAAGCACAGCTTCAAAACCGAGGTGCTTGATCTGTGATTTTGTAATGTAATTCTAAATGTCAACATGCTGCTTCTCTTTTTATACCCCAGACATTGTTATTATTATAACAATTGCACACCAGACAACATTCATATATTATCAACGCCGGTCCCAAGCATATCTATCTTTGATATTAAAACCCGCTGCAATCATGAGAGAAAGAATAGAGCCAGCATGTAGTGAAAACAAACTCAATACGAGCTTGTTACGGAGTAGTGTGTTTACTTAATGCTTTCTCTGTTTCTTAACAACTAAGAACAAATTAAAGAAAAGAAATCTTTGCAGTATGAAATGGGGAGATCAGGTCGAAAATGCCTTTCATTGAAAGGGGGTATGCGTTGACCGTGGATCGAATACGCGACCTTCAGATCTTCAGTCTGTCCGACGCTCTCCCAACTAAGCTACACATATATATCCCAGCTAACTCAATTTTTGGGTCTGAAACACATGCACGCAAAAGAATCATCAAGGTGATCATCAGCTTTCTGCAAGGCCTTGAAGTAGTCGTGATTCGCACGTGGAGAGGGCGATCCAATCATTTGGGTAATTACCTCTTTTCCTTCACATACGACCTTAACCTCGCAAGTATTGGGTGCACTCTGAAATATCTGATCAGCTATCCCATTAATGCCTTTCCTTGACTTTAGCTTCCTACATACCATGAAAGAAACAACGAAAATACTGATATGGGTGCTAAGCATATAACCATTAATCTTGTTTAACCAACCGAGGGTATACAAGTGTGGTACCTTGGATTGGAGTTGCTGGTTCCAACCACTAGCTTTCTGATGTTTAGAATAGGTATTAGATCTAGTATGGCTTTTGCAACCATATCACTTTCAATAAGCAAAGTTTCCACCTTAACCTGTTTAATTAATTAATTACAATTGTCTCTTAGTTTTAAAGTGAAAATAATTAACAAGGATCGACTCATTATTTTAATTAAACACCGTAGAAGATAATAGTATATACGTATTATATGTGTTGTCCTTGTTCCATACGTACCTTAGAAGCGGAGCATATATCAAGAAATTTCTCAAGGAGTTGTCTCCTCTTCCCTCTTTCTTGCGCCATGTAGTTCTCCACTTGTGTTGGAGATACTTGGCTCCTTGGCAGCATTCCCACTACCAACAAAGGAGACAGATTAGAGTCAAAGTCAGATACAGGGATTATTTCTTTTCTTCTGCTGTTAACGCAACTACAACAACCATTAAAGCCAAGGGGTTTATTAATTAATGGATTATTGTAACTATAATTCATGCTAAATGTAGCTAGAAGCCATGCATCAATTGTTAACTATACATATAAATAAGTTACAATCTTATTAATCACTCCACTTGCTATATATTTTATGGAGCTTGTCTTGTGATGCAGATCAGCTTGACCAGGATTAGAAAAGTCCAAACCCAACAACCGCCGTGAATTTTTGGCTCAGCTTATCTCATAAATGTTCCATCGATGAGTCCTCGACCTATATCTATGACTGATCATCTGACAAAAGGAAACGAAAAGAAACTAAGAAATTTGGTTTTGCTTACATGGAGAAGGAATATGGCGAATCTCGGGAAACACATGTATGAGATAGAGGGTGGTAGACGTATTGACAAAATTGGCCAGCGTCCAAGACAGCGCATCCATGCTTGAGTTGCTCTTCCCCACCGCTACGTACACGCTATCCTCCTCCTCTGCGTTATTAACGTCAAAAGAAAACAAACTGCTCTCTACTTCTTTGATCGACGCCGTACCCACCCCATGATTTATCTCAAATAATTCTTCTTCTTCTTCTTCTTCTTCTTCTACTATCTCGCTTACACTGTGAGCGGCAGGCGCGTAGGTTTCCGTCCAGGCTGTCGACATTTTGGTGAAGGTTGTGTAGAGAAAATAATGAAAATTTGATCTACTCGATCGTTAAGAGTTTTGCCGGTTCTATATTTGAGCGCTGCCTCGTGGGTGCGAATCTTTAAGCTACTAATAATTAAGGAAGGAAAGGAATAATAAATGAGGTTGTTGGCTCCAAAGTCAAATTTTGGATCCTTAATTTGGGTTATTTTAATTGAAATGATGAAGACGGGGGTGGGTTTTCCTTGTTGGCTTGGCTTTGATGACAATGGTACCATTGACTTGTCTCATAAACAGATGGTTTTTAATTTGAAGTGATGAGATAGATGCTTGAATTTTGAATGATTTTTTGTTTAAAGCTCAAAATTGCACTTTTATTTGGTATTTTAAAATTGTAGTAGTAATGATAAACAAATATGGTCAGACTCAGATAGCATATTAAAATTTTACATCTATACTTTAATTAATTTATTTGTGAATACAAAGTTGTGTACTTGTGTTTACATTTGTATTGTACCGTTCTCTCTTACTATTATTGGAGGGTATAAATAAAAGACTTTAATTAATTGGTGTTGGTGTAAAGTGTGATTGCGTAAAAAACTGGAAAAGGATATTCGCGCGCATATGCGCCAGCTGCCCGGGAAGGAAAATTTTCTCAAAATCATACTAAAGTCAAGAGTTGAGTACTTATGAGTTTGTCGCAAGTATGGCAAGGCCGAGCACAAGCAGCCTATCCCAATTTCCATGGACTGCTCTTGCTCTTTCTAAACAAGTTTTCATTACCCACCCTATGGCCCATGCTCCAAAGACCAACTCAAACTACATTTAGGGCTGGCCTGGCCTCGTCAATTTACTAATAGAACCCATCATCAACCATGCATTGCACGTTTCCCACTTATGGCCTTGTGCGGAGTATTCCTTTTAGGCATTATAATTAACCCAATTTGGATAGGCTGAAATCCCGTCCGTCAGGCCGAACAAACACTTGCTAGCATTTCTATTTCTATGGAGTGGAGTTGGGGCCTGCTTTTGCCTTCTGATTAGACATATAGACAGACACTCAAATCAAATTTAGGGATAGCATAGCAGACAGCAGCGTAATATTACGTATTATTATACGTAGATGTAGCACTAGTTTTGTTATTACAAAAGTCACGCCATTCCATCCTGGAAGTAGAATAAAAACAGAAATATATATTCGTATTGTGATAATGGTCTGGTCTCGTCTGGTCCCTAAACCAAATGTGGACAGTAACAGATGAGCGGTTGATCTTTGATTAGTTTGTTGTGTTGGTTAATATATGGAGATGAAGAATGGAGAGTTTAATATTGTATTTGTTTGTATACTCCTAAGTCCTACCTTTCATTGTAGTAAAGTACAGTAAATTAGTCAAAACTTGTTTACATGTATCATTTATCCACCTTTTCAATCTTTCTTTCTTAATCCTTACCTTTATGATTCATTCATTTCCAGAAGCAGAAACCTTTTTTTTTCGGATATCAATTATAATACTTAGAATACCATTTAGTACATAGGATTTGGTGGACACAAGAAAGAGTCTAACTCCAAATAAAATTGCAAAAACAACAGTATCGTATTCGTTGTATAATCAAAAAAGTATTGATGCTAGGGAACCATGAAAGTATAATTTTTCTATGTTCATATCGTATACCATTTAGTAGATATCGTATTCTTGTGTTCCAGTTTTCTTTTCTTTTCTTGTTTCTGATCATCTTGCTTTTCCACTACTTCAGAAGCAAATCGGTTAATCCTCGTTTCATCATCAATCCATTAGTGACTGTTGCTTGAGAAGTCAAAAGAAATATAACTAATTCACTTAGATATGCTTTTATCCTTTCAACTAAATAGCGAATCATCAGGTTAAACATCATCTCAGAACCACTTTTTCTGCTTCCAAAATACTGAGTATGTTGGTTGTATAGTTTATTTATAGATGATGGAATTCGCATCACTGCCACATTTCTGCAGAAAAGAAGGGTCTGGGTCATCTCGGCATTCAGCAAATGAAAACTGCTTTTCACTGGATCATCCTTTTCACAAACATCTCTACAACTACATAAAGCAGCAGTCCTTGATGACTGAACCCGCTCAACTTATCAAACAGGGGTCTTTGCATGTGTATCTGCCTGAACCGGCTGCTGAAGGAACAGAGATTGCTAAAGCTCTGGAGTCGGAGTTGCACAAATTTGAGAATGGGAATGGGATGTCTCGGTCTATTGATGGCATCAAAATCGATGATGATTGAAACTTTAGTGCTCTAAGCATTTCCAAGACTCGACTCTTGATTCCCAATCAGAATGTGTTCGTCTTTGTTAGTAGAGGAATGCGGTTTGACTCTAGCATTCCTGTTATAATAAGAGCTCACATTATCTTTAGGTGAGTCTGTCAGGAAACAGTTAATACAATGTATGTAATTAACTTGAAGTTCGCCTCAGCTGAGGTGGAGTAGGGATACTATTGCATTATTGAACAGAAAAATAAGATATCTATTTCAGTCTTCCTCAAATTATTGATTTAATTGATAGGTTATTGTCCAATGCAAGTCCTTTTTTCTGTTGGCATATCAACGCAAGAAGTCTTTGAGTTCAAAGACATTGAGATCATCAGCTAAATTTACGTAAAAAGCTTTCCAAAATCTAATTGAACTTGATCTTATTTTGTCATATATAAAGAGAAACTGAAATGGAAAAGTGTTAAAAACGATTGGCCAGAAACTTGGCTTTTTACCGAACCATAATTAATTGATATCTCTTGTTTGTTCCATTGAAGGGAGGAATTTCATCCCTGCCTAAGGGGAAACAATCTGATTGGTATCTTTTTGCTTCTTACAGAGTCCAGGAACAGGAAGCAGCTTAAGATGCAACCATTTGTTCTTGTTGACGCCGTCTTCTAAGTTCACCCTCAATCACGCTTCGTGCCGCCTCCGCCATCGCCGCTAACTCCTCAGCCTGTTCTGTTGCAGCCTTGATTTCCTCAATTGCTTTCAAACTTGCTTCCAACTTTTGATCTGTCTCATTTTTGCTTGCGTTTATTGCTTCCAGCTCAGCCATTGGGGCATCTATTTTCATCTCTGACATATTTCCAGATTCACCTACTTTCCTTTTCAAAGACTCCAATTCCTCGATGGAGAGTTTTATCTTGCCACTAGATTCCAGATTACCAATTTCCTTTTTGGCAGACAAAACTTGCATTTCATCAAGAGCCTTTTTCTCTGCTGCTTTTGCTTCTTCGGCCTGTTCCAAAGCAAGTTCTAGCTTTTGCTTTACCTCCTTTACCGCTATGTCCACAGCTTCGGCTTCTCTCTTCAGCTCTTCCATATTTTTCTTCATCTCTTTGCTTCACTTTTTGCATTTTCAATTTCTAATTGTTAGAAGACGTGTTTAGGACTGCTGATGTGGATTCATAAATGTTGCTTAGTTGAATGTTTAAAATTATTCTTGTTTTTTTGGTGTTCGTTATTTTTTGTTATTCATGTTTGTGGTCATGACATAATCTTAAGACCATGATTTTAATGGGTTATTATTAATTAAGCTTTAAATTGTAATGTTTCTGATGCTAAGATATTGTGAAAGTTTTCTTTGCTTTAAAATAACAACATTTGGTATCAAAGCTCTCTTCTTCAGGGATCTGTGTGTGAATTTGATGCGTCATAAAAGTTGAAGCTAGTCTTTCCGCAATTGCTCCAGTGGTGATCGACGGAGACAACTACTAGATTTGGGCAGTACATATGGAGACATACTTGAAAGCTTTGGATCTTTGAAAAGCAGTGAAAGAAGACTATGAAATTGCTGCACTTCCAAACAATCCCACCATGGCACAAATTAAAGCGCAGAAAGAAAAGAAGACAAAGAAATCAAAGGCAAAGGCCTACTTGTTCGCTGCATTCTCATCCCTCATCTTCACTTGTATCATGTCTTTGAAGTCAGCAAAAGAGCTATGGGATTATCTCAAGAATGAATATGAAGAAGATGGAAGAATTAAAGGGATGCAAGTCTTAAACTTGATTAAGGAATTTGAACTTCAAAGAATGAAAGACTTCGAGAAGATTAAAGATTACTCTTACAAGCTTCTTAGTATTGCAAACAAAGTGAGGCTTCTTGGATTTGAATTTACTGACTCAAGAATTGTAGAAAAAATTCTTGTTACAATACCTGAAAGATATGAAGCAACCATCACTATCTTGAAAAATACCAAGGATCTGTCAAAACTTTCCTTAACAGAATTGCTTAATGCTTTGCAAGCATAAGAACAAAGAAGACTGATGAGGGAGGATACAACAACCGAAAGAGCTTTGGCAGCCAAGCATCAAAACGTGGCCAAAATTTAAAAAAAAAAAAAAAAGGATTTTGAAAGAAATAGGGCAAGTATAGCATCAACCAACGTAAAAAGAAAGAATGAAAATCAGAAGAAATCTTATCCACCTTGCCAACACTATGGAAAGAAGGGCCATCCTCCATTTAGATGCTGGAGAAGACCTGATGCGAAGTGCACTAAATGTAATCAAATGGGGCATGAAGTTGTTATTTGTAAAAACAAAAATCAACAACATGGTAAAAATGCAAAGATTGCTGATCAAGAAGAAGAAGATCACCTATTTGTCACATCATGTTTTTCTGGCATCGAATCAAGTGAGAGTTGGCTTATAGATAGTGGTTGTACTAACCACATGACACATGACAAGGATCTATTCAAAGAACTAAGCAACGCAAACTCATCGAAGGTTTGAATTGGTAATGGCAACTACATAACTATGAAATGAAAAATGAATAGTTATAATTTCAACTTGTTCAGGTACAAAGTTCATTTTTGATGTTTTGTATGTCCTTGAAATTAATCAAAACTTGTTAAGTGTTGGACAACCAATTGAAAATGGTTATAAAGTTATGTTCGAAGATAAAAGTTGCTTGATTAAAGACGCAGTTAGCCAAGATATTTTCAAAGTAAAAATGAAAGGGAAAAGCTTTGCTTTAAATTTATTGGAGGATGAGCAAATTGCTTTCCCAATCAAAAAAAAAATATCACTAAAGTATGGCACAAGAGGCTCGGGCATTATCATCATCAGAGGCTGCTGCAAATGAAATCTAATAAGATGTCAAATGATCTTCCAGAAGTTGATGATTATATTCCAAACTTTAAAGCATGTCAGTTTGGAAAGCAAAATACCCAAGGTAACATAAAGAACATCAAAGAAGTTACAATTAATTCATACTGACATTGCAGGCCCATAAAGAATTTCTTCTATGAAAGGTAGTCTTTATTATGTTGCATTCATTAATGATTTCGCCTGTATATGTTGGATCTTCTTTTTAAAGCACAAGTCAGAGGTGGCTGAAGTCTTCTGGAACTTTAAAGCCAGAGTTGAGAACAAGAGTAGCTGTAGAATTCAAACTCTCAGATCAGACAATGGTAAAGAGTACACCTTTGAAACATTCAATCATTTTTGTGAAGAGGTAGGCATCCAACATCAATTAATCACTCCATACACTCCATAACAAAATGGAGTAAGTGAAAGACAAAATAGATTCACATTGGAAATGACATGATGTATGCTACATGAGAAGAACCTGCCAAAGCAATTTTGGGTTGAAGTAGCAAACACTGTTATTTTTTTACAAAACAGGCTTCCCACAAGAATAGTGAAGGATTAGACACCTTTTGAGGCATGGTATGGTTATAAACCATTTATGAATTTCTTTAAAATATTAGGATGTTTGTGCTTTACTCATGTTTCACAGATCAAAAAAGATAAACTATATAAAAGAGCACTTCCAGGCATCTTCATTGGTTATAGCTCAGTTGCAAAAGCTTATAAAGTTTTTCAGCCACAAACTGAAAAAATTATTATAAGTAGGGATGTGCACTTTATGGAAGATAAATAATGGAACTGAGATGATGCAAAGAAGATGGATCAAATCTCAAAAAAGCCCAAGCTCAAGTTCCTTATGTTAAACACAATAGAATAAAGCATTAGAGACTGGGAGAATGAAATGGTGGATGACAGTCCTATTAGAGGCACAAAACTACTTTTTTATGTTTATCAAAAATGCAATATTACTGTGTGTGAACCTACAGATTATGAAAAAGCCAAGACAGATCAAAATTGGATTATTACAATAAAAAGAAGCTGTTCATGATTGAAAGGAATGAAACATTGGAATTGATTGATCGACCCCAAAACAAAAAAGTAATTAGAGTCAAGTGGGTGTACAAAACCAAGCTTAATGCTGATGGCTCAATCAACAAGTATAAAGCTAGACTCGTGGTCAAAAAATATGCTCAAATACTCGGTGTAGACTACTCAGATACCTTCATACAAGTTGCTAGACTCGACCCATCAGGCTCTTACTCATCGTTGCAGCGTAAAAAAATTGGAAGGTGCACCAATTAGATGTCAAGTCAACGTTCTTAAATGATTTTCTGCAAGAGGAGATTTATGTAGAGCAACCAAAAGGCTATGTAAAGGAAGGAGAAGAAGACAAGGTCTATTTTCTTAAAAAGGCACTTTACAGATTGAAGCAACCTTTAAGAGCTTGGTACAGTAGGATTGATGAATATTTGTAGAACTTGGGATTTGCTAAAAGCTTATCTGAATCAACATTATATGTTAATCACAATGGAGCTGACATTCTTATCATTTCACTATATGTGGATGACCTACTTGTGATAGGAAACAATCAAGTATTGTGGAAAAGTTTAAGCAAGAGATGATGGAGTTTTTTGAGATAACAGATCTCGAATTGATAACTTTTTTTCTTGGAATGGAAATCAAATAGAATGAACATGAAGTCTTCATCTGTCCAAAGAAATATACCAAGGAGATTCTGAAGAAGTTTAAACTCGAAGAATGTAAAGAAATGAGCACACCGATAAACTCAAAGGAAAAGCTCTGTAAAGAAGATGGAGCAGAGAAGATTGATTAGGCATATTTCAGAAGCCTGATTGGTTGCTTGACGTATCTCACAGCAACTCAGCCTAACATTTTAAATGTTGTAAGCATTTTGTTTTAGTTTATGCACTATACAAGCGAATGGCATCCCAAGGTTGCAAAGAAGGTGCTTAGATATGTGAAAGGCACATGTGATTTTGGCATTAAATACATAAGGAGCAAAGAATTCAAGCTGGTTGGTTTCTCATATAATGATTGGGGAGGTTCCATTGATGATATGAAGAGCATTTCAGGCTACTGTTTCACACTTGGTTTTGGTGTTTTCTCATGGAGCTCGAAAAAATAAAAAATTGTAGCTCAATCCACAACTGAAGCAGAGTTTATTGCTGCAACAGCTGCTATTAATCAAGCTTTGTGGCTAAGGAAGATTTTAATTGATAACTTGGAGCAAAAGGAAAGCACAGAGATTTTTGTTGACAACCAAGCTGCTATTGCTATCTCTCAAAATCCTATGTTTCATGGGAAAACTAAGCATTTCAATATTAAATTATTCCTCTTAAGGAAATATAGAAAGATGGAGCTATTGTTTTGTCTACTGCAAAACAAAAGATCAGGTTGCAGATGTTTTCACCAAGCCACTGCTAGTTAGCAAGTTTGAATCTCTGAGGACAAAACTTGATGTTTGCAGCTCTTAAAGCAAAGAGGAGTGTTAGAAGACGTGTTTAGAACTGCTGATGTGGATTCATAAATGTTGCTTAGTTGAATGTTTAAAATTATTCATGTTTTTTTGGTGTTGGTTATTTTTTGTTATTCATATTTGTGGTCATAACATAATCTTAGGATCATGATTTTAGTGGGTTGTTATTAATTAAGCTTTAAATTGTAATGTTTCTGATGCTAAGATAATGTGGAAGTTTTTTTTGCTTTAAAATAACAACACTGATGAAAGCTGCTGGAGTCTGAAATCTTGCTCTTTAATGGCATTTTGTTCAGCAACAGATTCCATTTCTGCTTCTTTGGTCTTCATTTCAGTTTGTTGTTTTGTCTTCACCTCTTCCAATCCTAGCCTAATGCAGCTCACTAATGTCCTAAGAGAGCCTTCTTCATCCGCTACTAGTTGCAGTGTTGTTGTAGCTTCATTGAGCTCTGCAGTTACAACTCTCACTGAATCCATTTCCAAAGCATGGACTTTTTTCATCTCTTCTTGCAAGGCTTCAACCTCCGCTGTTGTTTCCATGAGCTTCTCCTCCAGATATTTCGTCAGCTCAGGATCATATGCCTTCCTAGAAGATATCAAATTTTTTTCGGCTTCCTCCTTAGCGCTCTTGTAAGATTTTTGTAGGGCATCTTTCTCTGCCGCAATATTTTCCTCTTCTTGGCAGACTTGTTGGATGGCAAACTTTACTTGCTGAATTGCTTCCTTCATAGCTGAGATTTCTTTTGAAAGATGTCTAACCCTTTCAGAATGCACTTTAGCTGAACACTGCGCTTCTGCTGCATGTTGGAATGCAGCCAATTTTGTTTCCTAGGCTGCATCGAAATCATGACTGATTTTATTGAGCTCTTGCTTTGCGGCATCAAGTTCAGCAGCAACGGTGATATATGGTTCTCTCGCATGGTCCAATTCCATTTTCCTTGCAATATTGCTTTCTTGGTGGCTTTTTGATTTTTGGAGTTCAAGTTGCGTGGCTTGTTCCTTCACTGCTTCTGTAGCTTCAATTGCGGATTGCTTGGATCGGTTACTTTTCGAAGTTTGCTGGCCAAATCCTGCAATGTTCTCTTTGCGCTTTCAAGATCACCATTTCGGCACTTTCCAGCTTTTGCTTAATAGTATTAATTTCTTTCTCAGCCAGGAGAAGCTGCGTCTCCTTGTCTATCACATTCTGGCAAACATCAGGAAAATTATGAGGAGATTACACTTTAAAATAAACTGGCTCAAGTATTGATCAGAAGAGGCAGTATTTATAGGTATATGTCAACAGCTTTTAAAAAAAAAAAACAAAAAAAAAATTATAAAAGCCGGAGGCTGGAGCTGGAGCTGGTGGAATTATATATATTAGGATTAAATTAATTAATTAATTCATCATCATCAGTTGATTATAATTAGTCGACGTTACCTCCGCAGAAAGCCTTGATTTTCTGGGATTACGTCTCTCCTTGGAAACAGCTACTTCCCCGAATAAACTAACAGCAGCTTTGACAGATTGAGACCGTGCTCTGGTATCAATCTCTCCTACCTCTGCCCTTGGTGAACCAGGGGGCTTTGGATGTCTTTCGCTATTTACCCGGCGGAAATTCACCATATTCTCTTTTCAAGATTGGCTTGTGCAAGACTAGTTTGATTGCCATGATCATTGTCATGCATCTGCTAGCATACGGCTTGTCATATGGAAAACAACAACATCATATATACATACTACTCATAAGCTAAATATCAATTGAAAATGCCAAAGAAGAATGAGAAAACTTAAATTCAGATATTCCAGGCCACCACTATAGTAATTAATGCACATGTTAATGGTATGTATATATATATATATATATATATATATATATTTGCCTATGGTTCATATTTGACTTGAGGATTTCTTTGATGACATATATATATATATATATAACATAGAAAAATAGAATATAGTAAGTATCTGATACAATCATAAACACAAATATATATATATATATATATATAACATAGAAAACTAGAATATAGTAAGTATTTAATACAATAATAAACATATGAGATGTAATTGTCCTTTTAAAAGTTTATATGATCGATGATATGTAAAGGTTATTCTGCAAGGCCATGACACGCCTAGTCCCTAAAAAGGTCTAGGTGGTGCCAAGGACGTTCCTATTCTCCAACAAAACCAGTAAAAGTAGGTACGACGGACAGGAAAACCAGTCGAATTTTGTATCCCACTAATTATACTTAGCGCAGGTGGCTTAGTTAAGATGGCATTGGCATTGGCATTGGCATTGGTAATGGCGTGCAGTGACCCATAGCGATGAAAATGATTGCAAAGGAAACCTGATGTGGGAACATACAACCCTGAAGACGAAAATGATGTTTGTTGGAAAAGAAAACGGAAGCCTTGAACTTGAAGGTGACGACGCTGGGGGTTTGGTGACAACAAAAGAAAACAGTCCCAAAATGAGAGGCGCAGTTTGGTCTATTATTTTGGAATTCCCAATGTTTTGAACGGTTAAAACTTAAAAACCAAATTAAGGTATTAAATGTTAACCTCAGACTTCGGCCTCAAAAATACAATCCACAGTTTGTTTTTATTGGTATATATTATTGATTGAAAGTTGTTGTTGATCCTTGAAATGAAAGTTGTTGTCCGGCCTCACAAATATGGGCAGCTCTCATTTCTTCCCTAATTAATTTGAGATACTAATATATTTTATATGAAGTATTAATTCTTTAGGAATTACATCACTTCATCTCTGTTCCAACAACATTCGAAAACATGAACAGTAATATCAACAACATTAATTAGTCTTTTACATAACCTCCAAATCAGCAGGATTGAGCACATGACCTTTGAACGACTTAATTAAATTAATCGGTTGTCTTGTCTCACACATCTTCTTTAAATACAACCAAACCTATACCAGCTTCTGATCCTTCCAACCTGAAATTAAATGCCACCCACAATAACACATGCAACATTTGAACAGCAAATAACCATTTTCCTTGAACCCTGACATCACATTAATTATCACATTAAAAGCAAGCAATTAGATATAATCCAACGAGGCATTTTAATGGACCTTAAGGAAATAATCAAAGATTAGGAAACATTGCTGATAATGATATTTAGTGTTACTTTACGATTAATTTTGATGAATCCTTGAATCATTCATTTAATTTCCTTTTTTGTCAGTTTTAGTAGTACTACTCCTTTACCATTGAAAACATTACATTTGACCCTCTTCTCTCCATTTTATTAAAACCAATTGCTGAAACGCTTATTCTACAAATTACATTCAGAAAGGATATACTGAACTCCAATTTTGGCTAAAAATATAATCAAGTATTTATAAAAACGGCCTTCCATTCCAGCAGAAATAGTTTCAAACCACCTATGTTTTATGATCTTATTATCTAATACAAAGCTGGTACTACTAATCTACACTGGAAACTAGACTAACCTTTAGTTCTATCTCTCCAGACTCAACAGCGCAAAGCCTTAACCAAACACTCTGAACTACTTCACCATTTATACAACTAATACAGCTCTCTCTAACAAGACAATTATCACTGTCAGGTACAACCTTCCTCAATTTCATCTCACCCGAAGAAACTCGGACAACATGGCTCAATCTAGCTGCAGAGACCAGTGGCTGAAGCTTTAGATAAGCATTTCCCATCTTGTCATCAGCCTTGAAACGGTCTTTGTCAAATACTTCCTGTGGAAAAAAATAAAAAAGGCATTTTTCATCAATTCTTTTTGTAAAAATCTATTTTTTACTAACGATGGTATTAGCATCTTCCAAAGTATTTCTTCAGCCACATATAACTATAATAATTTCTTTTTTCAACAAAAAAAAAAAAAAAAACAATAACATAAGCTACAAGCATAAGCTCTGGCAGATATAATCCGGTCTGCTTTACAAATGAAACCAAAAACAATATAATATTTACTACATGCTGGATGTTGTTACCTGCTTCACATTGAAACTAAGAGAACAGTTGAAAACTATATTAAATAGAAGGTAGTGGAAAGCATGCGAAAATCAACAAGATGACAAAACCTCAATTATATCCTACTATTTAGAGGAATCTCCAGGTAATAAATTTCTCTAATTCTTTACCTTCCATATGGCCTCATAACATTTCAACTCAGCAACATTCAGCAAATATAGATATAACTCTAACAAACACTGGCAAATGGATAAATTTAGGTGTAGGCAGTCGTGGACCATAAAGCAAAAGGTGAACCAAAGCGAATGCTTCAAAAGAAAAGGTAAGGTAAATACATGGCATGCAAATACCAGGATTCTAATCAAACCAACTTGAATAGGATAACTACAGATCAGAATCCTTAAAAACCTGGCAATGGTTAGAACAAATGAAACGTTCAAAAGAATTATAGTTCCTATAATTGTGAACAAAAGTACTGGTTCCTAACTTCCTATCATAGGTTAGGATAAGATAGGCAAACAAATATGTAACTTTAGAGTACAAATTTCATAAACTTACCAAATGTAGAACTCCAACAGGATCAGTGAGGGAGAAAGTGAGCTCTTCATTCCATACTGGATTGAGGCAACTGTTGATAACCTTAGTCTTTGCCATCTAGAGTGGAAGACATAAGTTGGTTCAAAATTTTCATTTGTGAGAGAAAATTATATATATTTATATAAGAAGTAAATGAAACACATAAATCTTGTACAAGCAATCAAAAGCAAAGGAGAGAAAAGATAGTCGGGGGCATAAAAATGCTGCCTGCTTACAGTTGCAAAGCCTTTGTTACAAAAAAAATGGCACTGAAAACATGGTCCATTTTTCTAGAAACAATGGAGAATCCAACTCTCTTTATGGCTGATAAAAACATAAGAGAAAACAGCAAATCAATTTGTCCTATGTGCCCCCTATATTTTCTTTTAACATCAGTTCATAATTCATAAAGCGACATAAAACATTAACTTTTGATGCAGGATAGTGGGATGAACTAAAGAGAGGTAGCATTGCCAATGCAAAACATCAGTGATGCAAATTATATGAGAATTGTAGAATATCATCAATTTTATAGGACAATAAATCAGCAAAAGCAAAACAGTTCACTTGACTGAAGGAAAAATAACAGTCAGTAAAGGACATTGACAAATATGGTAAAAGCAAAATGAAAGGAGGCTAAACAAACCTGATCATCGAGCTTGACTACAACATAAGGATCACTGCTCTTGAAATCCCGGATAACTAACCTTTTACCTTGCACAACTACCACTTTTAGCAGTCCCAACAACTCCCCCATTTTTTTTTAATTATACAGTAGCTGAAACTTTTGAAAAGAAAAAGTCACTGCAAAGAACCGAAATTCCAACCAAGAGAAAAAAAATCCATGAGAAAAATTATTTTGAATTTGACAATGGAATAAGAAATTATCCCAGAAATAAGGAATCCATAATTTGTAGAGAAAGCCAGAGGATAGGCATAGCATAGAGTAGATGATAATGAATTTATGATGATAAAAATCCTTTTTAAGATAGTCCATCTAGACTGCAGACGGCCAAAAAACCAAAAGGAAAGGCAAGGCTATACTATGCTAAAATCGTAAAAAAGACAAGAAGAATTCGTTAAACGTTTAGTTAAAAATGAATTGGGATGGTGATACGTGAGATTGGCTGAAATGAGGAAAACAGACAGAGAAAAGAAACAAACCAATCAAAGATATGCCAATTGCCAAACAGATCCACACACAGAGAGAGAGAGAGAGATGACCTTTTTTTTTGGGCTGTGGAAGGCGACGAAGCTTGTGCTTAAACTTAAATTGCAGACAAGGAAGGCAGGGACAATAAGGGAGACGATACAAGCATGGAAGTGAAAAGAAAAAGAACAACTAACCGACACCCACAGACACAGATATGAAATTATTTTTTCACGTATAAATAAGGTCTTAAACGTGAAAAATGCAGGTGGTGCCTGGTCAGGGTTTTAATTTCCTTATGTCATGGAGTTGACCAGACCAGGTATTCCCTTTGAATTTGTTGTTCATTATTCCAACTGCCGCTAGTGGGTCTTTGACTCTGACTTGCTCTTTACAATACCTTCCGGTTATTGGATTTTCTCTACAAATTTCAAAATCTAATCTTTCATTTCTCTCTGACAAATTATTCATCCAATTCAAACTTTTAATTCTTTATTTCATTTTTGTTTTGGTTTTCAAAAGGCAGCCAATCCTTTAGGCAGGTTTGAGCTGATGAATCCACTGAATACGAGGAGAGACTTCCAAGTCCAAACGTAATCTAATAAGATACTGTTACTGGTACTGATTAAATTGTTTTGGGTGCCTGCCTGCCTACCAGGCCCACTGCCTAAGTGGTGAATGATGCCTGATAGTGCACGACGTTGTCTAATATCTATCGAGTATGACCATTCACACTCATCTGACGGTTGGCAAGCGTTCAATTCAATGACCGATGCTTTCACCCTTGAAGAATGAACAATAAAAATGGAGCCCACATTCACCCCTCCTCCTTGCTCTTTTTTTTTCTTTGTTTATGACCGCGCATTCACACATAAATACTTCAATCGTACCATTTTTGAATTAGACACAATAATACAAACAGTTGGGTGTTGCCACAGCCAACAGCAAGCAGAACATACAATTGTGAAATAATAATCAATTTGATATGGATGTTATATTAGGTGTTGAACCAAATAAACTATCCCCCAAATACAACTGTACATGTGCCCTATCTATCCGTCGCTCATGGCGGTCAAGCTATATTCAACTACACCTTGCAATCTTCTACCATCTACCGGCTACCCCAAGTCACCTACACCATCCATCCATCCATCCATCCTTGCCCCGACTCTGACAAGTGACAAGGACTAATGTTTTCCTCCAAATTGTGGGAATGCCTATAGCACAGTGTTACTTTACAGTACATTTTCTACAAGGCTCTAGTCTAGCCAAGCCATCTTCTTCTGCGATCTTGTTAGGTTCTTTCTGAGCACTTGATCTGACACAGCACCACTTGTTTCCCACTTCTACAGAGGAAGACTGCTATTGAGGTTCAACTCCCTAGAGCACTCGCTTGGACCCTGATTTCCCAACTTTACGCTTCCACTTACTCTGCATTTGATAAAAAATAATAATAATTATTATAATTAAAATATAAGACAAAGACGAAACTTTACCAAACACATCGCTAGATGTAATTACAAGGGGCTCATCATCAGAAATCCCTGAATCCACAGCATCTGAAGTCATCGAGGATCCTTTCTGTAATTTCTTCAAAATTGGAGATTTACTCTCAATATGATCACTTTTTTGAGTCTCTTGGGGTTTTGATTCAGTTGCTTTACTAGCAGGATCTCTTGAGTCTTCACTTAATTCATCAGCTGCTTTCTCTTCTAAATGAGATTTCTGTTCCTCATCCACCTTTTTTGCATTTTCTGAAATGCTATCTACATCTTCAGAAAGATTCCCATCAGCATCAGATTTAACTTCAGCCAACTCCTCAGCATTATTCGGGCTTCCCTTTGTGTCTTCTGAACATCTCCCCTGGGAAACTGAAGCCACTTCCTTCTCAGATTCTTCCCTATCCGTTAGGTTCTCATCTACCATTTCGGTGTCTCCTCCTTCAGATTCATCTGGGAAAAAGGACAGCAATATACATTTAATTTAAATACATGAAATGAACGGGGAGAGAGAAATAGGGACACAGCATCTCATACTTGTTCCACAAGTTTCCAAGTGATATATCCTAAATGTTACAGAAATAATGTTGCTTTCAAGCATAAAAGAAGTTCATAGAGCAACGTTCAATCTGAATGACATTAAGTTACATCACAGTTCCATTAGATGATACAGAAGTTAATAATGCAGGCTAACTTTCTAGCGCAATGCACATTCTGCAGAAATTAAAACAGCTTAGAGAATAGTTATGAAAATCAATGAACAATACCTGAGTTCATCTTATGACTTTTATTTGCAGCAGTGGATTTCAACTTTGACACATTAGCCTTCTCTTCATCATCAGCTTTAGTTAAGTTACTTTTCAACATGCTCTTTAGAGCCGTCAAGTTTTTCTTTGGAGTTCTTTTCCCCTTACTTCTGCAAATCAAATATCAATTAAATTCACAATCCAATTGAAGGAAAATAGCTTCATTTCAGATAGCTATTACTCACATCTTTACTGAACTCTTATTCTGACGTGAACCATCTGAGCTTTTACTTTTCTGCCCAGGGGACCTGTAAATTGTAAAACAACCAAGTTATCAAGCAACATAAGAGTTTGTTACTATATGTGAGAATAAGCCATCCTCAAAACAAATACCATAATCTGAAAGTGATGTTGCATATGAGTAGCATATCTTTTTCATTCTTTTTTTTTTTTTTTTTGACTAAGTGGATGAAACACACACAACTACACACCAAAGTGAAATTCACAACAGAATTATCTAAAAACTGCATTAGTTGATAGCACATACGCATCCTTCAGAGGGCCCTTGCTGACTTTCAATGAATTTGCCTTCTGTAAAAAGGGCAAGCGAAAGAGATATGAGAGAAACTCACAAATTAAAATGATTTTAGCATTGATAGAAAATGCAAGAAATGAAGTCTTAACCTTTCCAGGCTTGCGGCCTGTGTCAATGAGCTCCCAGCGCTCTCTTTCCAGACGGAGTACTTCCACATCTCCATCATCGTATAATACCTAATAAGAAGAAAAAAAATCATATGATTAATAGTTGGTTCCATGAGGCACATATGTTCACATATGCATTCAAGCAGGGAAAAAGGTGCAGCTTACCACGTGCTTCCTTTTTATAGGGTCATAAGACTTAACTGTACCTTCATAAAACCTGTTGTTTCCAGCGGTAAGATACAATCAGTAGAGTACCTTCATAATTGCATCCTTTTTTAAGAAATATATTTTCTTTAAACAAAATTAGAACCTTAGTAGGTTCATAATAACATCTCTAATTTTCAAACAAGGGACAAAAGGCCACATTGCTGTAGAAGCAGTCATCAAGACTGATGTTATGCAAAATGATATTGCACCTGTTCAAATAGAATAATGCTAACACTTATAACAATGTGGAGTGCAAGTTGAATGGAACAAGAAACTTTACAGAGTAGCATCATGCACAACATATAAATTAATACTCACAGGGAAACTGACAAGTTGACCAAATAAGCACAATGGTTCAAGTACAATACTAGACATAAAATTAAAAATTTAAGCTGCTGTAAGACCAGGACACTGTTTAGAATAAATTTTGGCCCTCAGTAAAACAATAAAAAGGATGAACTTGCAAATCTGACAAGGAGCAAGTTGACATGGCCATATCAGATCTACCAAGAGCACAAACTCATTTTCAGAATTTCAACTGTAACCAAATGAAGCCTCCAGTGAATTCTCAAACGCATGCAGCACAAATCAAGTGGGAATTACAATGAATGAGATAGAGACTGACAATCAATCTATTTCACAGAATGATTCACAGGAATAGTTCTGGACTCTGCTGCAAAGAACAGCAAAAGTTTTGGGGACTCACTGCTTATCCATGGGCCACCATACTTTTATTCTGTAACCAATCAAGTCTGCAATATCGATTCTATCTTCCTTGGTTGTGCACTGAACAAAGGAAACAAAGAAGATCAGATAATGAACAAAGAGCTCAACACTTTGGGAAACCAAGAGGATTAGAACAGTAAAAAAAATTCATTTCTAAATGTGTTAAGAAAACGCTAATAAGACGAACAATGCCACAATATATTTACAAAATGCAGAAGGTAGAATAGATGAATCTATATGTTATGTATCTCTCCTAAATATCAACATCAGAGAGAGAGTGAGAGAAAAGCAGGGTGGGTGCAGAGTGCACTTCCAAATATTGTAACATGAGTAATTCTAGCAAAAGCATTTAAAATTGCATGCAAGCAATGCCAAGACATAAAGAAAGAGGCAGAAAGGGGGTGAGGTTTGGGGGGCAGGTGGGTGGAGATTCCAGAGGCAGAGTGCTGGGAAGCTGCTCAAAGGACACCACCTTATAAATGCCAGCAGGATTTATCTTTCCTTCCTTACTTAGCTGTGAATACCAATGGATTAGCCATTTTGTATTATTTCATACAACAGCATCAACTAGAAAGCTCCACAGTGTTAATTAAAGAGATGTGAAAACAATGACCTTTGCTAATCCTGCAATGCTCCTCCTCTTCTGCTTCTTGCTAAATCCAGCTGCAGACTTGGTGGCGTCTAACTCCTGCATGAGATATAAAACAGATTCACAACAGTGAGAATCATGAGAACATTAAATGTGTTCATCCCGGACAGCAAATTAAACCAAGTCAAAAAACACCTCCAGATTTTCATCATCAGCTTCATCTTTTGCCTCGTCACCCTGACCCCAATCAGAGCCTTCGCCTTTGCCTTTACCTTTTGATGACATGCTACTTTTCTTCTGAATGCGTGACACCAAGTAGTCCAATTCATTATTCACCTTCCATTTTTGGAGTGGCACTTTATCTGTTGAATCCTGAAGTTTATCTATGTCCATTTCTGTAGATTGAAATGACAAATCTTTAACTTCATGCCAATCATCTCCTGAATCTCTTGAAGGGACCTTAGAAGCACTTTTTGAAATTTTGAAAGCACCATGAGCAGACGATGACCTCCTGCGTTTAGGCACTGGGACAGAAGCAGCACCACTGACTTTTCTCTTTTTACCTTTCTGATGCTCCTCCAATTTTGCTTTCTTGGTAGGAAAATGTTTATGACCATTGCTTGATTCGAACTTACTGGCCATCCCTAGACTATCCAAATTTATTTCCCTCACCATTTTCAAAATATCAACATCATTTTCAGCATCTTTTGCTGCTGCTGAGATAGACTTGTTCTTTTTTGCCCTTCCATCCTTGGCTCCTTTAGATTTTAATTGCTTAATCATTTTACTGAGAGGCACTTCATTTCCATCTATTTCGCTGTCTTTGAGAGCCTCTTCCTTGGCAGTCTCTGTATGAACCTAATGTGTGGTCAACAGAGAAGGAAAAGTTAGTAAACAATGTAATACTAAATACAACATATAGTACTCGATAGATAAATGAAAGGGAATATATATCATACCGTTCCATCGC